TATATATATATATATATATATATATATATATATATATATATATACTAGCAAAAAATTATTAATTATCTAACAATTTGTACAGCTAAGAGAGAAAGAAAAAAAAAAGAGAAAAAAAATAAATTATAATAAATAATGTAATAAAATAAATAAGTATTATATAGACTATTTTGTGTATTATATTTGATATAAAAATATGTCGTCTTCAGGATGCTGCATATGCATAGTTAATTATGTCTGGTCAGAAATATAAAGTATTGATGAGAGCACAAATTTGTTGTGGCCCGTTGGCTGTTACCTTAATGATTTTGGGTTTCACATGTAGACAATGATTTGTTGTATTTAATTGCCTGCAATTGATTTAAAATAATAGTGAACCACGTAGCTGACGTGATTGAATTGTATGTAAACTTTTAAAAACTGGACCTAATCTTTGAACGATCAAACATGTGGTCACGAGTGCAAGTGGCTTTCTATATCGTCAATTATTTCATCCATTGGTCAATGGAACAAAGTGTATCAAGCAATTACAACTAAATTCCTAGCCAAAGCCACACCAATCATCTTTTAATATTTTTTTTCAGTTTAAATTTATACAGAAATTAATGAATTTTATATGTTATTTAATAATTTTTAATTTTTTTAATTTATAATTTTTAGTCAAGAATATAAGATTTGTTAAAGAAAGTAAGATAGATAAGATATTGGTAGTATTTGTTTTGCTACAAATGGTCCCACATGACATTTATATATATAGCAATCATTGATGCAAAAATAAATAGCGTTTGATAGTCAATATTGAATATTGATAGTCGCGGGAGAAGATACACATTTTACATGTGAGGGGGACGACAATGGTTTATTTATCATGTCAATCTTGATTTGTACGTAGCGATAAAAATAAAGATTAAATGTTTTTTTTCTTCTATATAATAATTGTGCGAATTAAGTTACCAACTGCAATTTAGTCTTGTTTAATTGCTTCTAACAATAATATTTAATTACTAAATTATTTTATTTATTTAATATTTAATTGAAAGTTATAATATATTTATAAATATTTACCTACTCAAAAAATAAGTTTATTTAAATTTTTTTCACTCAATAATTCATATTTTATATTAAATTTTAACGATTCATTTGTTAAATTAAAAATTCTTAATGTATAGGTCAAGTTTTAAAATTTTTAAAATTATTTGATATTCCATTTTATTAATTAAATTGATGGATAATCACAAAAATATTTTATACGTTGATTTAAATTAATGAAACAAAATATTAAATAGTTTTTAAATTTTTTAATCTATATATTGAAAACTTTTAATTCAAACGGTTAGATCATTAAAATTTGATGTAAAACATGAGTTATTGAATAAAGTAAATTTAAGTAAACTCACTCTTAAGGGGTATTTGGTACCCATAATATTTTTACATTCCTGAAAATCTTAAAGCGAAAATATTGGTTTCTTATGTTTGATTGTTAATATTTTTAAAAAAAGATATATAGTTTTTCAAGACCCATTTTTATCCCACTTTCCTACAAAAACAAAAAAAAATCCTATAGGAGATGGGAATCCAACTTTCGCGCCAGAAAGTTTTATGTATATAAAAAGATCTTTATATTCATTTTTAAAACAAAAATATCTCTCTCCTTCTATTTTTATTTCTCTTTCTTCCTTTTTCTCTCTCTCTCTCTCCCTTCACTGCCCCTCTCTTTTCCTCTCTTCCTCTCCCTCTCCCTCTCCCTCTGTCTCTGTCTCTATCACTTTCACTTTCCCTCTCTTCCTCTCCCCATCCCTTCTCTCTCTCCCTCCCCCCTCTTCTCCCTCTCCCTCCCATATTTTTATTTCTATCTTGTATCTCATTATTTTTTAATCTTATCAATTTTAATAATAATATTAAAATCTATTTTATCTTTACATTTTAATGGTCTTTGTTAGCACTTTTAATTTTAATTTTTTTATTTGAGTGAAATAAAATAATATACTTTTATTCTTCTTAATTATAATGTAACATTTTTCTTTCTTTTTTTGTTGAATTTTGTATTTAAATAATTTTAATAAGTTTACAACTTTTTAAAACAGTTTAATATCATTTTGTAATAAGATTTAAGTGTATATATATATAGTGAATTTATTTTAATAAAGGATACTTTTGTAAAAAATATTTGTAAACCAAAAAATATAATATTATAGCCAAACATAAAAATCTTTAATTTTCAAGAATCATGTATGAATATTTTCAATGACTTTTATTAGTAACTAAACATATTTTAGTTATTTTCAAGAGTCATCATTTCTAATTCCTAAGAATCATGATTCTTAGGTATGTAAAAATTTCTTCCCTACCAAACATTCCTTTAAGGATCCACTTACTCTAAAGGAATGTTTGGTAGGGGAGAAATTTTTACATACCCAAGAATTATTAACATACCTAAGAATTATTAACATACTTTTATCTTAATTTTACTTGGAGTACATTAACAACATACACCAAAACTTTTGGATCGAAAAATCAATCAATCCTTTTTCTTTAATAAACTTACTTGAAGGATATTATAGTAATTTATTATTAATAAAAAATTCATTTATCTCAACTCGCCCTCTCATTCTCCCTCTTCCTCCATTCACTTCTATCTCTTCTCTCATTTTTCATAGTGGTTGTTCTTCTTCCATTAGATAATTAATCTACCACCATCGTCCACCTGTAACTCTAACCATCATGTAAATACCAAATTTATAAATTTTCCCAACTAGAACCATTTCCTCTACAATCATTGCACTCATGTCACCATTCCTCGCTTTAAACTAAATTTGATAAAAAAAATTGTGGTAATCCAAATTCTAAATTACAATCCAACAATAATTATAATGATTATCATCATAATTACTGAAAATAATATAGGCGTATGAAAGAATGATTTAATGAATAAGAAAACTTTACTTTTTATTGCTTATCAATCATCAACACCAAACTCATATTGACTTGAATGGTGTATGTTAGTCACTCTTAAAATCACATATTAGAAATATGTTGAATGTTTGAAAATTAAGAAAAATGAATATTTATTACCTAAGGAAAGAAAATCTAGAAATTTGGATGAGATAAACCAGATAATGTATGAGTATAAGTGATGGAGAGAAGAGAGAATCAATTAATAGGAGAGAAAAATAAGTAAGTGATGGAGAGGAGAGAAAATGAATGGACAGAAAAGAGAAATCAGTGTTATTTTTTTTAAAAAAAATAAATAATAAATTATTATAGTATCACTCAATTAAGTTTATTAAAATAAAAGTATTGATTGCTTTAAAATTTTGAAATACCACGTGAATGATGTTTATAGAAAAAAATTGGTTATTTATTTTAAAAAATAAATATTTTTAAGAAATTCATGCAAACATATTCTTAATCCTATGTTACATGTTCATTGGATTGCAGTCAGTAAAAAGATAGATTTGAGTATACTGACAAGAAAATTTATAGACATATCGTGTTGTGTCCACATGCACATGCCTCAGCTCGACTAAAATTCTATTCTCTCTTTTAACAAAAAAAATCTATTGCAACGCATGTGAAGTTAACATCGATCTTATATTAGACGTGATCTAACCTTCTTCACTCTTTGTATTTTC